TGAAGGCTCTTTAGCCTCATACTCCCCCCGGATCTGATTGGCGACCAGCTGAGAATCTGTCTTGAGGTAGACATGCTCGGCTTCCAACGATATGCACAGGTCTAAGCCAGCAATGGCTGCTTCATATTCGGCCTCGTTGTTAGAGGCTTTGAATGAAAATTTTAGTGCATACTCGAAGGTTTTGCCTTCGGGAGAGGTGATGACGACCCCTGCCCCCGAACCGTTCACGGTGGAGGACCCATCCGTGAAGACGGTCCAGATTTTCCTCCTTGCATCCAGAGTCTCCTGATAGGAGCACTCGGCCAAGAAGTCTGCCAAGGCTTGCGCCTTGATGGCTGTTCTCGGCTGATAACCGATACTGAACTCGGTGAGCTCGAAAGCCCACTTTGCTAGTCTACCGGATTTTTCAACCTTGCCGAGGACTTTCTCTAACAGCTGATCAGTTAGAACCGCTATTTGATGAGAATCAAAATAGGGTCGCAACTTCCGAGCAGCCACCACCACTGCATAAGCCACTTTTTCTAACAATGGGTAGCGCGTCTCGGCATCCGTCAGGGTGTGGCTGACGAAATAGATCGGCTGTTGAACTTTTTCTTCTTCCCTTAGCAGCACCGCGCTTACCGTGGCTGGACTGACCGCCACGTATAAGTATAGGATGTCTCCTACGACTGGCCTTGCCAGTGTTGGGAGTTGAGCCAGGTGTTCACGGAGCTGCTGAAAGGCTGACTTTTGTTCATCTCCCCATTCAATGCCTTTTGAATTTTGGAGCTTCAGCGCCTTGAAGAAAGGGAGCCCTTTGTCTGAGGCTCGTGAGATGAACCTGGACAAGGCAGCCATTCTCCCGGCTAGACGCTGAATATCTCTTTTTGTCTTCGGCTCGGGGAGGTCTAAAGCAGCTTGTACTTTGGCGGGGTTTGCATCAATCCCCCTCTTGCTGACCATGAAGCCGAGGAACTTGCCTGACTTCACGCCGAAGACACATTTCTTCGGATTCAGCTTCATTTTGTATTTTCTGAGGGTGGCGAAGGTTTCGGCTAGGTCCGTGACATGATCTTTTTCTTTTATGCTTTTGACGATTGAGTCGTCAACATAAACCTCCATGTTTCGGCCTTTTTGCTCGGCGAAAACCTGATCAACCAACCTCTGATATGTTGCCCCCGCATTTTTCAATCCGAAGGGCATCATTCTGTAATTGTACAACCCGGAACTTGTTATGAACGCTGTTTTAGCTCGGTCCTCGGGGTGCATGAAGATCTGATGGTATCCCGAGAATGCGTCCATGAAACTGAGCAGAGCATGCCCGCTTGTCGAGTCGACCAGTTGGTCGATCCTCGGCAGCGGATAGGAGTCCTTGGGACATGCCCTATTCAGGTCCGTGAAGTCAACGCACATCCTCCAGTTACCATTTGCCTTCTGAACCATTACAACATTGGCCAGCCACTCCGGATACTGACAGGGTTCAATGAACCCAGCATCTAGGAGCTTATCGACCTCAGCTGCGATGTTCTGGTTCTTTTCGGCGGAGTAGTTCCGCTTTTTCTGCTTAACGGGTCGACTGGAGGGGTCGACATTAAGCCTATGGGAGACGAAGTCCGGATCAATCCCGGGCATTTCTGCGGCTGAGAAGGCGAACACGTCTCCACTGGCCCGTAGGAGTTGGACGAGTGCCGCACGGGTGTTTGGCTCCAGTGACGACCCGATGCTAACACATCTGTTCGGATCTCCTACGGTCAGTTCTATTGACTCGGTCAGGTCATCCGTCTCCATGCTCTTAGAGTTGGATTCCTCGAATTCCGGCCTGCTATCAATATTAGCAGACTTTCCTGACCGCGGCTGGCCATCAGAGTCGTTCGGCTCTGAGGCGGAGTCAGCCTTTTGGCCCCCATCAGATTTCTCGTTATCTGGGGCTTCATTAGCCGAAACGTCTGAGCCTCTCGGCTTTTTGGCGTTTCGGTCCCGGTGCTTTTCCTCCCCATCGCCACGGTCGCCTCGGCGAGACGTGGATGGCTTGAGGTGATTGCATCGGCGGGCTTCTTTTTGACTGCCCTTTATTTTCTCGGAGCGTCCCTCGTCTGAAACGTATATCATGATTTGATGATACGTGGAGACGACTCCTTGAATGCCGTGAATGAGGGGTCTCCCCATGATCACGTTGTATGCAGATGGAGCATCTACGACCAAAAATTCGGCCATGATATTCCTAGCTGCTCGGCCTTCGCCGATGGTGACAGGAAGTGTAATCTTCCCGTCAGGATACGAGGAAGAGCCGTTGAATCCAGACACCGGGTAGGGTGCGGGGGCCAGGTGCTCGGCTCCCATCCTTAGCTGGTCGAACGCTCCTCGGAAGAGGATGTTCGCCCCGCTACCGCCGTCGACGAGGGTCCGCCAGACGTTGCGGTTGGCGATGCCCAGAATGATTACTAGTGGGTCATCGTGGGGGTATACCACCCCCTCACAGTCTTCGGCTGTGAACAGGATGTTCGGCGCCGGTGACTGGGACTGCCGAAGCTCAGCCAGATGAATCTGATGGGTTAGACCCCTCAGTTGGCGTTTGGCTGTGCCTCGCGAGATTCCCCCGGAAATAACTAGGATGTCGAGGGACTCCTTGCCCTGAGGTCCCTTATCCTTCTTCCGAGCGAAGTTGAGGTCCTGCCGAGAATCTTTTTCAGCTTTTTTCTCCTCGCGCCTGTCCGCGAGGTATTGGCTCAGGTACCCCTTGCGGACCAGATCCTCAATCTGGTCCTTCAGCTGGACGCAGTCCTCGGTGCGATGTCCGGGTGAGTCATGGAACTCGCACCACTGGTCCTTTCCCCTCGTCTGATGCCAGGGAGGCAACGGACGAGGTTTTTTTGAATCTCCCCTCGTCCTTCGTCGTGCTGAAAATCTTAGCACGGGGAAGGGAGAGTGGAGTGTATGAATCGTACCTTCCCGTGTAGGGAAAGTGTCTTTCCTTCTTCGGCTCGGCAGCAGAGGACGGTTCTGAGGCCTTAGCCTTCCCTTTCCTCTGCGCCGAGACTTCGGGCTGCTGCCCTTTCGGCTTGTCAATTCTCGGACGAGACTGAGACCTGGATCTGTTCCACTCCTCGGCTCGGATGAACCTATCCGATGCTTCCAAGGCTTCCTCCAGGGTCTGCGGGGGATGCATGACCATGAAGTCCAGGAACTTTCCAGCTTGGAGGCCGTTCCGTAGCGCGAACACGGCCAGGCCTTGATCCAGGCTTGTGATTCCGGATGACTCGTTGCTGAAGCGAGTCAGATAGTCGCGGAGGCTCTCGTCCTCCGCCTGCTGCAGACTCATTAGCTCTGCAGTGGTCTTCTCTCGGCGGTTGGCCGTAGAGAATTTGCTCTTGAACTTGTTGGAGAGGTCGTTCCAACCGGTTATGGAGCCTTCCTTGAGCCCTTTGGTGATCCAGGACTGGGCAACACCTTTGAGGGTCGTAGGAAAGTATTTACACCAGGTAGCCTCAGACCTCGGGTTCAGATACATGTGCCCCTCGTAAGAGGCAATGTGATCCTTAGGATCTGAGGTACCATCGTAAGTAATATGTGCCGGGATTTTGACCGTTGGCACATGCTCTTCCAGAATCCACTTCTGGAAGGGCGAGTTCGATGGAACCATGACCGCCTTCCCCTTGTACCCGGCCTCAGGGACCTCGCTCCCTCCTCTCTCAGAGGTGGAAGTGGTTTTCGTCCCCGGCTGAGACAAGGTTGGGTGGGGTCCGGTATCCTCTGGGAAGGTGAGGCGGCTATGCACACTCACCTCCCTCGAACCCAAGCGTTCGTGAACGCTTTGGCGGGCGAATTCCGGGTCCTTGGAGGGCCCCATGGAATTCTGAGCTTCAGAGTGGTCAGAGGGTTGAGGGTTCCTCCTCCTCTCCTTACTGGAGTTTCGGGTGTCCCCTCGCCACCTCTGACCGAGCTGTCTATGTGGTGGAACTTGTCCACCATCATCCTGACCGATCCTCCTTTTCAGGTTTCTCGGCTGGTGATCATCAGGCATCTGGATTGGAGCCCCTTGAGCTTTAAGGAACTCCATGCAGATGGCCACTGCTCTGGCCACTTCCTCGGTGGAGGGTCCGGAGGGAGGAGTCTCCCGCGGATGTGACCTGGATTGCACGCTATGGCGCGGCGGGGAGTTCCTCGCACCTGAGCCACTCGGTCTCGGGGATGGCCCCGGCTGCCGAGTGTGGTGCGAGGTGTTCTCCTCCTGGAGGCTAGGACCTCTTGAGGCTTCCCTTTCCGGAGAAATGGGGGCCTCCGATTCGGAAGAGGCTCGCTCCGGGGAGGGATAAACCGGCTGGCGTTCCCTCACCGTAATCCGGCCTCCTCCCTTCTTAGCCTTCTTGGAACTCTTTCCACTCTTAGTCATGGCGACTGCCGGAGTGTTTGATGACTGACGCGAAATTTAGTAGCGTTCCCCACAGACGGCGCCAAATTGTTTCGGACGAAAACAATCGAATCTCGGAAGATCCTTTTATCTTGAGGGAACTTGGTCTCGGTCCGAACGACGCCGGAGCCGAGGGTTTCCTGCACAACAAATACACGTAAACTAGCCTCGGGGGGGACGCCGAGGAAGGCCCCTCCGATGCTTAAGTCAGTATATTAGAGAGAGAAAGCTGTGCAAGAGTTTAGTTGCTTGAGGCTTTTTTGTCTTACCAAGAATTGACCAAATTGTTGGCTTTTATACCTTGGCTAATGAAGGAGGCGGATTGGGCCCGGAAGTCAGTTGGGCTGGGCCAAGCTGATTGGGCCGTTGACTGACCTTGACATGGCTTTGAGGATGTTGATTTTTGACTTTAGCACATTTGGAGAGTTGAACCTTAACCTTGGGCTTTTAATTGGATCATTCAGTGACCAGGCCCAATTGGACTAAATTGGACCCAAACATATATTATATACCTTTTGTCAATTCACTTTGTTTTTTCTGTCCTTATCTTAGAATTTTGTTACATACTTTTATGATCTATGTGAAAAATTGTACAATGGTTGTGTGAATGTAGGAAGAAGAGGGTGTGGCTAGGGACATTCGAGACGGCCGAGGAAGCCGCTAGAGCGTATGATCAGGCAGCCATACTAATGAATGGTCAAAATGCGAAGACGAATTTCCCAAGAGACAAGAACAATTCATCAAGTAATGGTTCAAAGAGTAACACAAATAATGACCAAGATAAAATTCCACCATTCAACTCAGCATTATCAGAAATACTTAGTGCTAAGCTTAAGAAGTATTGCAAGGATCCTTCTCCTTCACTCACTTGTCTTCGACTCGACACCGATAATTCTCACATTGGTGTGTGGCAAAAGAGGGCCGGAAGTTGTTCGAGTTCGAGTTGGGTCATGAGAGTTGAACTTGGTAAAGCCGCCTCATCAAAGGAAAACAATACTACTACTACTAATAATAATACAAGTATGTTGCTTGATAATAATGATGGTTCTCCTATATCTTCTTCTTCGAATTCGTCGAATTCTACCTCGTCTTCGGTTTTAGAGGCAGGAGGTGATGATAATATGACTGAAGAAGATAAGGCTGCATTGCAAATGATAGAAGAGCTACTCAATTGGAACCCTCCTACTTCTTACTTGAACTAACCATGATTATTATAAGTACGATTAGTATAAAACTATGGATTATTAGCGGCATAGTTTTAGCTTCTATATAATCATATCACATAGAAATATATATAGGATTATTGGTTATAATGTCTTAAAATAGTAATGGGTTGGGTTATACGAAGTGTCATACCAAGTATAATGTAATTTGACAATGAATTATTACTCAATTTTAACCCGGAAAATAATGGGTGCAAATGAGTAACAATTAGTGATATGAAATATGTACATATATCATATATGGTCCTATGAATTTCAAATGACTATTATTGTATTTAATTTTCGTCTATATATATTTAATTTTGCATGTGAATTGTATTTATTAGTAGCTTTCGTACACACATTTTTATTGATGTATGTATAAATTATGCGTATATTGTACCTTTAATTGCTAGTTTGCTACCCAATATATTCCTTACAATTTCTTGTAACCATGGTCTCTTACATCCATAAATTTTTCATCAATATGCAATAATTGCAATGTCTTATGTATTGTCTTGTTCTCTTCACCTTAAAATACATAGTACACCGTATATATATTTTGTATCAATAAGAATAAATTTAAATTAGTAGATGCAACTTAATATATATAAGTTCAATATAAATTTGTAATTCCAACGTTCAAATTAAACAATGAAGGAAACCTATCAAATAGGTTTAACTAGTGAATGAAAATGAGTTTTGAATCAAATTTCATTAAGGTTTTTTTTTTTTGATGAATAAGAATAATTTAATTTTAAAACTCATAACAAAAATAATACAAACTATATTTAGTATAAAATAAAAAATTAAAAAAAACTAATTTCAACAAAAATTTGGTAAAAGCACAAGGTCATTGTACAATTGTACGCTAAATTGGTTTTCAAAGAGATCTTATTTTATTGTAATCATCATACACTTTTCATGCAAAATTGACTAATCAATAATAATTCTTAGAGTGCCCTAATTTTTTGTTTCTTGATGTATAAATGTTCTTTGGATTTTCGATGCTTATATCTCAATTAATTTTGCTTTGATCTCTCACAAACATCGACCTTTCACCAAAAAAGCGAAAATTGATGGTATTAGTATAGTAATTAAACATAGTTTTCAAAAAGGTCTTAATACTAAACTTTTAAATGTAATAATCTACTTTTTAAACAAAAATAGACTAATTCCACCAAGACAATTAAATAAATTTTATGTTTGTTGTTGTATAGTTTTTGTATCTTATACTAATTCCGACCCATGGCAGTGCATTTTTTCTTAATCACTTATGTTGCGTGCGGTCTGTAAATTCATAAACATTATTTCATTAGAAAAGCAAAAATTGACCATATTAATACTTGGTATATGATGTATCATTGTTTCAAAATAGTAACAAGCAAGTCTTTAATTATATAATTTTTTTTAATGTAAATTGACTAGATTTATCAATTATAAACATATCATGATCAATTAATACATATAATGATGTACGTGACCTGTATCTTTCAATATATTATGTTTGGAAATATACCAACTATAAGTTAATTATACCTCCAAATACTCATTCTTAGAAAGAAAAAGAAGATCCTTCATGAAATTCGATTGTGACTACAAGTCTACAACCCTTTTATTTCCTAATCATTTTTCAATTCTTTAGATAATTGTTGTAAGAGAATAATCAATACCTCGTATAATCTTGCATGATCACTTGCATTTTATATGTGTACTAGCTATACATTGTAAATAGAAACTTGATAGCTACTTGAATAGTGAAGACATCGATCTATGAATTGCAACTCAAATAAATACTCTTTTTTTTTTCTTTTTTTTTTTTAAGATACATGATTAGATCAAGATTTGATTTAATTTATTGTTTACGTATGGAGAGAATATAATTCTAAAGCCGACACACTTCAAACTCTGAGATATACTCGTGCTTTTTGATCGTGATCAACATTAATAACTTGAGATTCGATTAACATAAATGTATCATGCATTGAGGAATTGATCTTAAGACAAAGAAAACAATTGTCATCATATTCTTTATATTATTTTGACTTTTTTTTGCGAGGCAATCACGAACAAAATGAACATTACATAAAGAATAGTAAGAAATAAAGCTCTACACATTGCTAAAGATCCATCGAGCTAATGAGCTCATACTTAAGTAAACATAGTAGTGACTATAGTTTTCCAAGTAGTTGGTTTGATAATCAATGCTCCTATAAATTATTTAAGTTAGGTTAGCTTTATTAAAATGTACTAACTACTAGATATGTTGACACATCATCATACTTTCATAAGCAGATGGTTACTGGGTGTAGTCCCTTATTAAATGACACAAACTGAAGTTGACATGTCTTAATCAAAGTCTATAATTGGTTGAGCAAGATGTTGACATTTACTTGGCATCAACTTTATAGTAAATATATACTCACTCAATTTCTAATAATATATGAAGAGAAAAACAAATATAAGGGGCATGCATTTATATATCTTGGTGAGAATTGATCTCTTCAACAAATTAATTTAGTTTATATCTAAAATAAGTTTTAATAAGTTCAAAAGCATTTTCAATAAAATTTGCATAGTATTTATACTTTTAGAAAACAACTGCGCGTAAAGTGGCATAAGTAGTATTGCTAAGGTTTGGGGTATAGTTAAGGCCTTTTTTTTTTTTTTTTTTTTTTTTTTTTTTTTTTTACGTTTTCTTACAAAATCAATTTTGATGCTAAATGATTTTTCACTCTAAAAATAAAAGGGTTAGAAAACCATAGATATCTCCTTACATACTTAGGGCCTGTTCCGATTGACTGAACTCAGCTGAACTGAACTGAACTGAACTGAACCGAGCTGAACTGAACTGAACTGAACTGAACTGAACCGAGCTGAACTGAACTTATTAATTAGTGATTTTTAACTACGGATTAGTGATCTTTGATTATTTATTGATTATTTATTGATATTTATTACTATACATATGTGTATATACAAATGTACATATTAAAATATTTACGAAAAATATACTATATAATTATAATTATAAAATGTATGGAAAATATATTATAAAATAGAACCATTTGAACAATGAATTGTATCAATATTATTATTGTTATTATTATTATTATTATTAATTATTGATAATTATTATTATTATTTATTGATTATTATTATTAGTATTATTATAGTATTATTATTATTATCATTGTTATTATTATTATTATTATTATTATTATTTATTGATTATTATTGTTAGTATTATTATTATTGTTAATATTATTATTATTATTATTATTATTATTATTATATACTATTTATTATTATTATTTTTGTTGTTGTTGTCGTTGTAATAAGATCTTAAAAGAATGAAATTTGGCTTTATATCATTAGCAATATCATTAGACATAAATTAAGAGCTGAGCTGAACTGAACTGAACTGAACTGAGCTGAACTGAACTGAACTGAACTGAGCTGAGCTGAGCTGAACTGAACTGAACTGAACTTCAACGGAACAGAACAGGCCCTTAGTTTGTACAAATTACAAAGTACGCTATGAAAAATGTCCTAATGGAGCAGCGGTCCCCAAGTTGTTAACACTTAATGGGCTTGGCCCGGCCCTCTTATTGATTTATAGGCGACACGACCCACCTAGCCACCTTCATCAACCTGCTCATTTGGCCACCGTATTTGACGCTTAGAAAAAGTCAAACCGTGTCCCGCTTCGGAGAAGAGTCAATTTTATTTAGAGAGAAAGTGTAGAAATAGTCAACTTTATGAGTACCCATTCACCAAAAATTAGGTCCTTATTCTACTAGCCTACTTGGCCATTGCTTCCTACTTTCCTAATTCTTATTCATGTACCAAAAAATAATAAAAAAATTAATAACAATAATAATACATTATGCATTAACATTTCATCATCTCCCATAACATAACAAAAGTATTGGCATATTAGATCTTTTAAATACATGGTGCATATTATTGATATTTCACAACAGGTGCGGAGTATAAGTTTGACAACTCGTTTTGAACATTCTAATAAAATGCAATTTTTGCGTTTTTAAATGATTGTGTTGTCTCTAATTTTAACTTTTTAATAGTTATATTGATTTGGGTTGTTAGGTAATATTTTTTTAAATATGTATGTAGAATAATACGTGAATAAAGTAGAGAGGAATTGCGAGACTCCCTAGATAAAAAGAAAATAGCTAGGATAATTTCTTAGAAACAACTGAAAAAGGAAAATGAGGTAATCTTTAAAGACGAGTAAAATAGCATATACAAATTATACACGCAACACGCATGTTCATTCAAGGCGAAGGAGTTGTATAGTGTAGTAATGGTTAAGCATTTAGTATTTAAAATAGCACTCGAAAAAGAAAAGCCAAGAAGAGAGCTTGCTTGCAATAGTTACCTTTGCAATTAGGAACCAAGGTTTCAACCAAAAGATTGCATTTAACATTGAGAAGGACAGGACTTGGTCCCCTTTTGTTTTAATTAGGCAATGGATAAAAATAATTAAACCCTCTCTTAGCATAAAAGGCAAAAACATTGAGAATATAACAATTAGAAATAACTATGCAATTAGTAAATTCAATTTAAATGGATGATTAGCAAATATGACATTAATATAAGTACATAAAATCAAAGGAAGTAAATTATAGTAATTGCAAATGCCAAAATTGGTAGATTTTGTGATCATACGGAACTCTTGTGCCTCCAAAGTCTCCTATCTTTTACTGGCAAAAAGATGGTTTTATTTATTTATATATTTATATCTTACCAACTTTTGACCAGATTATTAAAATCATAAATGATTTGCTTTATACAAATTTCATTTAATTCTAAGTGGAATTTTACTAATATGTACTCAAACGTACCAAATTTGGCATTTACTGACAAATTTAAAAAGAATATTTTACTGACAAATGTAGTAAAGTTTAATTCAAGAATATATGTGTGATATGAAAAACTCAAAGTAGGTGCCATCATTTATAATTCATTGATACATCACTTCTAGGATGACTATACATCATTAATCATATCTTAAATACAATCGTCCACCATTTGAAAAATCTCACTAAGCTAGCTTTGTTCACTAACGACAAAAACCATTTACATAATTGCACCCCACACGAGCGCGCGCACACACCGGGGAAATATATATATATATATATATATATATATATATATATATATATATATATATATATATATATATATATATATATATATATCATAGACTAATAAATGATTTACAATAATTTGCACAAATAAAATGATTTTCAATAATTTCTTTTATCGTTAAAAACTTATAGGTAATGCTATATGTAGTCCATTAGGGCT